AATACCGACAAACTTTATAACGCTACCCGGGTAATAATAGTCTAAAATATAAAATAATTATGTTACAGTCACCACAAAGTTTTTATTATCAAAAAAATAATACCGAAGGAACTTAATATTTGTTACATAGCATTCTTAATTATAAGCTTACAAAGTTTTGACTAGAAAACACTACACCTTATGGTATACATATTAAATGTATTGTTATTCCTTCTTACGTACAAAGTTAAGGATTGACTAAAATTACTTTTTTGTGATTGTTTTTAAATAAAGGAGACATACACTTTGTTTTTTTATATATATTTTATTTCAATTAATAATACTAAGTACATAGATTTAAACCGTTGTTAGTTAGTTTGTAGACTCAATAATAATGTTTAGTAACAACATTATTGTACATTTAACATCACTCATAACTTCGTACATTTAAACACTTTATGGCGTAGGCGTAAAACCTTTCATTTTAACATGTTTATATAGAAATTTAATTTTCATGCAATGGGCAAGCAATCTTTGACTCTATTCACAACTAAGGAATTAATTACAAACAAATAGCAAGGACTGTCAGATAAACTGGAGAGAGCATTTAGACCTGCGTAAAAACGCCAGGTTGCAAAGTTCTGTGTAAACTGATATAATATCCTGCCTATAATAAAATTACATCCTTCCAAAATTTCAAACCCTCTCACTAAGTTTATTCTCAGATCATATACCACCTGCTCATATACCACCTCCATGGCAAATTTCAATGTTATGAATTTTTACATTTCATCATTATCATCAGTCTTTCATAGTCCACTGCTGGATATAGGCCTCTCCTTAGGAAGGAGTTTTTGACCTACTATATCACGCTGGCCAGACGGGTTGGTATAGGGTTAGTTTTTCTTTATTTAGAGGAGCGTACCGTCGTGTACGAGGACCGAGATGGTAATTTGAGGTGTCGGCTCATGTCGTGCGGTGTTCCACAGGGGTCTGTTCTTGGACCCCTCTTGTGGAACATAGGGTACGACTGGGCCCTTCGAGCCGATTTCCCCCCCGGGCTGGGTGCAATTTGTTACGCAGATGATACTCTGGTTACAGCCCGGGGGGCGAACTTTCAAGAGGCGGCGCGCCTGGCCACAAGGGGAGTCTCCCTGGTGGTCGGGCGCATTGAGGCGCTGGGCTTACGAGTGGCCCTAGATAAGACGAAGGCTCTGTTATTTCATGGGCCCCGTCGTGGTCCACCCCCTGGCGCCTCAATCGTGGTCAACTCGGTCCTCGTACCGGTTCGGGCCCAGATGAAATATCTGGGCCTGATCCTCGACGGGAGGTGGCTCTTCGACGAGCACTTCCGACAGCTTGCTCCAAAGCTGGTCGGCGCTGCGTCTGCCCTAGGGCGACTTTTGCCCAATTTGGGTGGACCCAGCGTCGCGACAAGACGGCTGTACACGGGGGTTGTCCGGTCAATGGCACTATACGGTGCACTAGTGTGGGCGGCGGCTCTGACTGCCCAGAATAGGGCACGCCTCTGGCGCCCTCAGAGGGTAATGGCGGTCAGAGCCATACGCGGTTACCGCACCGTTTCGACGGAGGTGGCGTGCGCGTTGGCCGGAACTCCCCCGTGGGATTTGGAGGTGGAAGTGCTCGCCGAAGTTTATCGGCGAGTGGCTGACTCCCGGGCACAAAGCGGATTTCGCCCTCCGCCCGAAGACGTGCGCGAGTGGCGCGAAGCCGCTCGCCGAGCCACGATGGCTCGTTGGTCGTTCCGGCTGGAGACTCCACGCGCTGGCTTCGCCGCCGTGGAGGCTCTCCAGCCGGTCTTCGCCGAGTGGGCAGGGCGGCAGCACGGGACCCTTACCTTCCGGCTGACGCAGGTGCTTTCCGGGCACGGTTGCTTCGGAAAGTACCTGCACTCGGTCGCTAGGAGGAAACTGAGTCCCGCCTGCCACCACTGCGACTGCAGTGAGGACTCGGCCCAGCACACGCTGGCGGTCTGCTCCGCATGCGACGCAGCGCCGGGCCCTCACTGCAGTCATCGGAGTGGATCTCTCGCTACCGGCCGTAGTACGCTCCATGGCCGGTAGCGACAGTTGTTTTACCGCGGTCGCAACCTTCTGCGAGGAAGTAATCTCGCAGAAGGAGGCGGCGGAGAAGGCCCGGGAGGACGCCCTCCACTCGGACCCGATCCGCCGCCGGCGGACCGGGCGGCGGAGGCGCGCTCACCTGCGCCCCATGCCGCCCTGGGTGAGGCCGCGGGTGGACGGGGTGGGTTTCCCCTCCACCCGCATTAGTTTGGCCAGCCGCGAGGGGGCGGCGTCCGCGTGTGCCGGACGTCGCCTAAAGAGAGGAAAAAAATTTTTGAGACGGAGCCCGCAACAGGAGCGGGCCGGCGCTAGGAGGGGTCCGGATGTCTTAATAACAGCTGTTCCCGGATCTCTCCTATTACAGGCGCAGAGTGGCACACCGTGTGGTTTTAGTCGGTCCGAGTCCGACATACCACCCCGCCGCAAACCCCGGTGGGGTGACGGTCCGAGGAGATTTCCACACGTTAAAAAAAAAAAAGGGTTAGTTTTTCTTCCCTTTGCATTTATTTTATAAAACAATTATTTTACATGAATTAGCACATTTTTTTTAAAACCCACATTAAGTACAAAAAATTCACTGTATTTCAAATCCTCTGGTATATAAAGTTAATAAATGGTTCAAAGTAAGCATAATTTGTACTACGTTATATGTAGAGTGCGCGAGTGATGTGCACGAATAAATTTAGAATCTTGAAATAATATTGATATGGAAACATCCAAAGTTACTTATTCATGCTAATAACGAATTCGCGAAATAAGTAAATTCAAAGACAATTTTAAGACTTATCGGATTAAAACCGTTTCTGATAATTAGCTTATTAATTATATCTTCTTAATCACTTCCTTTTCGTATTAAGCGGATATTAGATATCTAATAAATTATTTTTCGATTATTTTCAGGATATCTAGTCTGCTAAGACTGATCAGGCTGCTCAGTTTGGACTTAAAAATTTTTTCACCTTCGGTTGTGCGCTTCACGAGTAAGCTGTTTAACCCTAGATCGAAGTTGGTTGAAGGGCAATGGCAGGAGTGTGGTTGGGCCGGTGGCCGTGGTTGCCGAGCCCCTCCTTGCTAGTTCATCTGCGGCGTCGTTCCTGTGTGAATTCTTGTGCCCTTTAATGCATTCGAGAAGCACCCAGCACCCCCAGGAACCGTCCGCGTAAATTCGGACTTCGTTTATGCCAGATTGGTCTCAGTCATTTCCTTGTGTCTTAATGTTGTATCTCTTTGTGAAGAAATGGAGTTTTGGGATCCTGTCGCATGGAGCTGGTATTAGTAGTTCGTATTCCACTAATTGATCTCATAATTTAGAATGCGATCCCTCGCCTTTATGCCACAGATCCAGGTATCTGAGTCTGATGATCGCCATGGCTGCCTCCTTCTGTATGAACAAGTCCAGTGGAAGAGCCACCTCTAGTGCGGCAGTAGGCATCGTGCTCATACAGCCAGTGACCGCAGGGCATGGAAGTCGTTGGATTCGATTTATTACGGTGGTTAGCTCTGTTCTCTACCACCAGACAACGGTACCGTACCTGATTATTGGTCGTATGACTGTTCTGTAGAGCTATAGTGTAATCTTTGGTAATAGTCCCCAGCTTTTGCCGAGTAGCCGTTTGCATTGGCAAAAGACAATGCAGGCTTTTTTAGTTTCTCTTGGAAGTGTCTATTCCACAGGAGTTTATTGTCTGGCATTACTCCTGGGACTTTGACCTCTTTGGTAAGAGCCGGTTCACCGTCAAGTTATGTGTCTATGTGTCTATGTCCATTGTTCAGCGATCTTCAGTGCGAGTCTCACTTGATCGCATATAACGCTCTTAAAGAGACCACTGATGAGGATAGTCAGATCCTCTGCATAGCCTATTGTGAGGAATCTACGGTCGTTAAATTATGTGATTAGTTCATCCACAACAATGTTCCACAGAAAGGGGGAGAGTACACCGCCTTGCGGGCACCATCTATCCACCACTCCTGTAGTCAATTCGCTCACAGTAAATTGAATAGCTCTATATCTTAGCATGCTGTCAATCCACCCTGAGATTGTGGAATCAACACCATGTCTAGACAGAGCTTGGCTAATGCCGGTGAAATTTGTTTTGTCAAAGGCACGGATGGCAAGGATGATCGTTTGTGTTTTAGATTGCCTTCTATATGTAATACTACTGGATGTAAAGCTGATTCTGTTGATTTTCCCATCGAGTACGCGTTTGGTTGTGGTGTAAGGGGTGACTGACTAACGCAGTGCTCCTAATTTATTAGCCTCTCAAGAACCATTAATAGAAAGTACGTGAGACTGATATGTCGGTGGGAATTTGGTTGTGTGTAGTCACCTGTGCCAGGTTCGGAAATGAAGATTACTTTGACTTCTCTCCATTTCAAGAATAAAATGCTGTAATTTTTCACCAGGTGATCTAGAAGCGTCACGTCACACCATCTCAGAAGGCCTGGGAAGATACCACCCAGTCCTGGTGCCTTGAAATGGAGGAAGCTGTTAATTGCCTGTTTAAGTTTGTCAAATATGTATAAGTAAAGTATTTAGTCTAAAAAGGGTTCAAAGTACAATATTGATTAGATTGTGCTAATCTAATTTGTAGTTTAGATTTCCATTAAACTCATCCGCATACGTATTCCATTGATTAAAACAGTTTTTTATATTTCCATTGTGCTCGTCAGACCAGTCATTGTTTTTATTTGTTTAAACTCAATTTTCTTTTATAATTCTATTCCTACTGAGTCATATGATATCGAATTTTATAACGTTAATCGTTTTTGTGAAAAACCTCTTATCAGTCGGAAACAATAAAACAATCCTGTTGGTTAAGGTATCTTTAAGTATAATCATACTGATTAACCTATGATAATATTCATCAAAAAATTCGTATAAATACATCTACCACTCAAACCGTAGTGAACTTAAACCGGTTGTAGAGAAATTTAGTCATGCGTCTGATATATTTAGTGTTTGTTTGCTTCACGGCGGTTACAAGTAAGTCGTTTAAATTTATATTTCAGTAAATATCGTGCCTAATAATATACACTAATAATAATAGCATATTAGCATATATTCATATTATCTAATGTTTAAAAATCTCGTGCCACAGTGCTTGTTATCGAACTCCTCCGACACTGCTTGACCGATTTTTTTTGTGTATATTTAGTAGATCTGACAATAGGTCGTAAGCTATTTTTATACCCCTAGGAGGTAAGGATAACCCTCCCTAGATGTTTTTTTAAATTTTTTAGTAAAAATGTCAGTTGAGTTAATAAAGTACATTGAATTAAGAAAAAGAATGATTAGTGTTTTGTTATTATTATATGTCGTCATTGGACAGCACTTCATTCCTCTTTCAGTCATAGACCCTATCCTCACATACGAGTACTTACAATAAGTTTATTTTTTATTTAACCACCAAAAAATTCACTAGAAATAATTTATATGGCAAAAAAACGTTGGCCGGGTCATAAAAGCAATTAGTTAAAGTTATTCATAAAGTGTAACGCCAAAGTAGAAATACATATTGTTCTTTTTTAGTTTCTGCAGCCCCAACCACCGTCACCATAAGACAATGGCCCCAGCTAGCTAACGTTCTGTTCACATGGAACTGGTCTACCTTTGAACAATACTGCGGCGGTACCGTCTTAAGCAATAGAAGTATATTAACTGCTGCTCATTGCGTAACGTAAGTAAACGGTGCACTATAAATTAAAGGTATTTTTGATAAAATGTAGTCTTTATTACAAAGTCTATTCTTTTTATAGCGCCCATCCCGCAAGTAGATTCCGCCTACGTCTTGGATCTACTTTTGTAAACAGCGGTGGTATTGGAGTAAATGTTGAAAGCAGTCTTATTCATCCCTATTATAATTCGAAAACTGAAAACTTCGATGTTGCTTTACTTTACGCCGTTAACAGTTTCGCACTAAATGACCAAATAAAACCTGCAAGAATTGCTAGCTTTGATTACAACCTCGGTGACAGCCAAATTCTTCATGCCACTGGTTGGGGTACGACTGAGGTAAGTCTTTAATTGTGAATTTGTGTTATTTACTGATATGAGGATACGGTGATAACTATTTAGTTATCCATTACTTCTTAAGTTTGTTGTAACGTATTGTGTAATGATAGAACATTTAAATGAGAAAAATAATGGTCAAAAAGATGTACATATATGCACTCAGAATCTCCTCCTCTGGTATTTCACTCTATATTAAAGCTATTTTGAAGGTGTTAAGATGACGATTATATAAAATCAAAGACGGTTTTTTATGACACATGTCCAAGAAAATGGTCGGTCCTTTTTACGGTCCAGTCTTGCTGGGAGTTACTAGTAGTATAATAGAAAAAAAATTGAGCACTTTAGTTGCAATTTGGAACCTTACTGTATCTCTGATATTGAGCTCTAACTTCATAATATTTTAAGTTTTTTTTTATTTATTTGCAGTATTACTCATCTCGTTCTGAAGAGCTTGCTGTTGAGCAAATTTGGAGTATTAATCAATCAGACTGTGCACGGCGTTACAGAACTCAAAATGTAGCCATTACCGAAAACATGTTGTGTGCTGGTTCTCTCAGTTTAGCTGGTCGTGACCAGTGCCAGAGTGACTTCGGTAGTCCAATCTTCCACGATGGTACCCTTGTCGGTATCTACTCCTTTAGCGTCAACTGTGGTGTACGTTTCTTTCCGGCTGTCAACGTACGTATATCTCGCGTCTCGAAATGGGTTACTGCGAATACTAAATAATCATAACAAGTTTTTGAATATATATATTAAACAGCGTCAATAACGTATTTTCTTTATGAGGAATAATTTTAAACTTCAAGTGACTTATTTGCATGAATGTTATTTATATTATAGTCACGTTATTTATGCTGTAAATTATTCTATAATGTTGCGCTTTAATCCTTACAATGAAGGATTTCATCTCGATGCTTCTTATGACACGACATGCTGTCTAAGAAATGCATCTGCAGATATCAGTTCATATATCATCTCAGTAGCGACAAAAATGAGTAATGAAAACGAGGTCAAGCTTTAGTAATACCAAGGATGTAATTAACGGCAGAAATCATTGGGAACGGAAGGGCCCTTATTGGCGCCGATATGACCTATAAAGCGACAGCCTATACGAATTTCGGTCCTATAGCAAACGTAATAAAATCTTGAAACTTTACTTGTTTATTTTTTACCTATTCTCTGAATATTTCCTTAAAATAATAACAAAAGTAACTGCAAAAATATGTAGTAGTAAGAAACTTCAATAATATCCTGAAGATTCACATGCAACAGTAACTTGTCTGTGGCAGCTAAAATATTGGCAAGTAATTGCGCAATTACCCAGCATTTTCAAAAGATTTATATGAACTTAGGTATATGAGCAGCGTCGTGCTAAATCCCTACATTTTACTGATAATTGCTTGATTTATAGGATACAAGCCTATGGGGTGCGGGTCGGGTAACCTCCACGTGCGTCGCCGTGTTTCTTGTCCCTCATGACCACTGTGTTCGGGGGGAACGGAAGCAGGGGGCCGGTGCATCCTGGGCGACGGTCAATAACTTCCCTTTCAGGGGTGGGTATTGGCCGCCGGCAAATAACTCGGCAGGGGGGGGTAAATCGCTCTCGGTACTTCTCTGTTCACCAGAGGAGACTGGACGAGCGAAGGGGTTGTAGGCAGAGGCCGAGGTGGGATCCGTATGGATTCCAAGGGCGGGTCGACCCACTGCTTACGCAGGGGCTGACAAGCACCAGTGCTGCCGCCGGTGAGGGAGGGTTAGCCACCCTCTCGCATTTCGTAACCAACAGGGGTTCAGCAACGACCCAATTGGTGGCTTCAGGAGGGTACGCTGAGAACCTGTTGGCCGGAGGGCTTGCCTTAATTGGCCGACCCATGACAAGGACAGTCTATAACACCCGACAGCAAAGTCGTTAAAACCTGTGAATACCGGCCGACCTCTACAGTATATAGGCTTATCCGGGTGCAGGGGGCACCGCCCGGATGGACTTTATTTCCCCCATACTCGTGGGATTAAATATGGATATTAACACAATAAAACAAAAACCAACAACAACGGACGGATCTACTAACGACATTGGCTTTATCGACAACGGACAACGAATTTTCAGAGAGGAGAAGCGCTCAACTAAGGCGAGCGAGAGTGACGAACGGCGGTTGCGGTCGCGTTTATTAAAAACACCTTTCTTCAGACCCTCCACTCCGCTGCCGCTTGATGGAGGTGATCGAGGTGGAGAGAGCGATAGCTCAGCCTCGATAGGGTCGGAGAGGGAGACACGCAGGCAGTCGCGGAAGCGTGGGAATAGTCGACACGATGATGAGGACGGAACTGGTTTGGCGAAGCGGGCACACAGTGTCAGTTACGCAAACCAGCCGAGCTCAGCAGAGGTTGGGGCTCAAATTCTGCTAAGTCTGGATAATGTCGAGGAGACATTGGACAGACCCCGCAGCACGAAGGCGGAGGTAATGAGCTCCATTCGTCAGGCCCTGCAGACTCTGCGGGACGGCGTTAAGGAGCTCTGCAACAGAGCGGTGACACGCGAGTACGAGGAGGCGTCCGTGCAGAACCAGGCGTCATCATCGTCGCTGGCGGACCGGGTGAGGGAGAACGAACCTCTTACCCAGACAAAGTCAGTGGCACCGTCTTCGGCGGTGCCGCGGAGATCGTCGGCCACAAAGGTGGCGGAAACGATCCCGCTGCCTTCTACGATGGCGGAACTGGGGCCGAAAATGGGCTCGCCGGTGCCACTGGCCCGCCCGGCAAGGGAGGACCACCCGGACTGGGAAGAAATTGCGGCAATCATGAACCGTGAGTTTGCCCGATTCCAGTCCGGGCTTTTAGCTAGGTTCTTCCCAGAGAGAGGTGCCAGACCCCCTCTAGGCCAAGGACGGACTCCAATGGCGCGGCAGGCGGCTGTATCAGCCACTGCGCTCTCTTCTTCTTCCGAGAAGAAGAAGAAGAGAAAAAAGAAGAAAAAGAAAGCGAAAGGGCTGGCGGGGTACCCCGGTAACGAGGCAGGCTTCCATCAGCCTGAGAAGGTCTACCCTGCCGGAACCAGCGGTAAGGCAGGAAGGGGGCACCTGGGCCCAAGTTGTTGGGAGAAAAGCCCGGGTTACCGCTGCGAGACAGGGTGCGGTTGCTCCTCCTGTCTCGAAGCCGAAGAAGCCGCAATTACCGCGACCCCCCACCAATGCCGCCGTCGTGGTCGCAGTGCCTCCGGGATCCAGTACCTCACTGGCGGAAGTAATGCAGGCCGCAAAAGCCCGTATTAAGCTGGCGGAGCTTGGCATTACGGGCGGGGTCCGTCAGCGAAAGGCAGTCACAGGGGGCCTAGTACTAGAGGTCCCCGGCCCGGACAGCGCTGCCAAAGCGGACGCTTTGGCCGAACGCTTGCGCGCGGTCATGGGCGACACAGATGCACGATTTATGCGTCCGTGCAAGACGGCCGAAATGCGGGTGATGGATTTGGACGAATCCATCACCGCCATTGAGGTTGCGGAGGCAATAGCCGCAGCGGGTGGCTGCTCCCCGTCCGACATCAAGGTCGGGGAGATACGCAGAACCGCAGCCCGATTGGGAACGGTTTGGGTCCGGGGCCCACTTACAGGAGTACGCCAAGCTGCAGCCGCCCAACGCGTGCAGGTGGGCTGGGCATCGGTCCGTACCGAAGCGTTGGCACCTCGGCGCTTGCAATGTTACCAGTGCCTTGAAATGGGACACGTCAGGGTAAAATGCTCAGGTCACCCTGACAGGAGTGGGCGCTGCTTCCGCTGCGGAGAATTGGGTCATAAGGCCCGAGACTGCGCAGCTAATGCACCGAGGTGTCCGGTGTGCAGCGACCACGGCCGGCCCGCCAACCATCGGCTGGGTAGCAAGAGCTGTTGCCCACCGAAGCAGCAAAGGAGCGGAGAGGTCCAACCTCGCCCCGCCTTTGCCCAATCGGGCAAACAGCCAGTGTCGAGTGGTAACTCGACGGGAGAGGCAATGGAGGCTTAACATTCCCACCACACGCAAGGATTCTCCAGGGCAACCTCAACCACTGCCGCGCAGCGCAGGATCTATTGATCCAGACACTTGCGGAGCAGTCGGTTGCCCTGGCAGTCATTGCAGAGCCCTATACCGTCCCGGACCATCCGCGTTGGTTCGGGGCGGTCGATGGCTCAGCGGCCATTTATTGGCCGGGTGGGGAAGGCTTCCATTGCTCTCTCCTACGAAAGGGTGCTGGCTTCGTAGCAGTGGAGTGGGGATTAACAGTGCTGGTGGGGTGCTACTTCTCTCCCAATCGTGGCCTAGCTGAATATGAGGCATACCTTCACGGGTTGGCAATCTGCATTCGCAGCTATGCCTCCCGTCCGGTATTTGTCCTGGGTGACTTCAACGCCCACTCAAGGGAGTGGGGTGACACTCGGGACGATGCGAGGGGAGAGACTATCCTGGAGTGGGCGGCTGGACTGGACCTCCGACTTCTAAATCGGGGCTCAGTTAGCACCTGTGTGCGATGGCAGGGGGAGTCGATTGTCGACTTGTCATGGGCGACTCCCTCTGCAGTGCACATGGTGTCGGGATGGCGAGTGGCGGAGGAAGTGGTCAATCTTTCTGACCACCGGCACATCGTATTCGATGTGTCTCTCCGCCGCGCTGACCGCCCACGTCAGGATAGAGAACCTCCGCGACGATGGTCCCTCAAGCGGCTTGACCGAGAGATGGTCGTTGCCGCATCCCACGTGGCGGATTGGTTGGAGGAAAGGGTTTCGCCCGATCCAGAAGAACAGGCGGCTTGGTTCGGGAACATTATGGCGTCCGTATGTAATGCCTCAATGCCCCGAGTCAGGCCAGCCAGGAAGGGCTCGGCGTACTGGTGGAGCGTGGAGATCTCGCAGCTGAGAACGACGGTCGCGAGATTGCGCCGCCCGTATCTTCGAGCCCGGAGAAGACGGCGAGCTACAGCTGAGGAGATCGACGTAGCACGGCGGGAATATGGCGCTGCTGTAAAGGCTCTCAGTGATGCAATCGCTGAGGCCAAGGCTCGGTCTTGGAAAGAACTCATCGTTGGACTGGATAGGGACCCATGGGGGCGCCCGTACAAAATTGTACTGGGCAAGCTAAAACCATGGGTCCCTCCATTGACGGAAACCCTGGACCCGGAGTTCCTGGGAAGAGTGGTAGACACGCTCTTCCCAAGGGTCCAGGACAGTCCCTTGATCTCTCTGTTACAATCGGACCGGCAACTCTGGTCCGACGAGTGGGAGGTGACGGAGGGAGAGCTGGACCGAGTCGTGCGGCGGCTGGCTTACCGCAACACTGCGCCCGGACCTGATGGTATTCCAGGTCGGGCGCTGGTGATAGCTCTGTCGGTACTGGGGGACAAACTGAGGCGGATTTTCACAGATTGTCTTAGCCTCGGTGTCTTCCCCCTCGGCTGGAAAGAAGCGAGACTGGTGCTCTTGAAAAAGGAAGGTAGGACTGCAGATTCTCCCTCTGCGTTCCGACTGATATGCCTGCTGAACGAGTCGGGGAAACTCTTTGAGAGGGTTATCTCCGATCGTATCAGCGGGCACCTGTCGCGAGTAGGCCCTGATCTGTCGGACTGCCAGTTTGGATTCCGACGGGGGCGTTCGACAGTGGACGCTATCAGGTGCGTTCGCTCCATGTCGGAGTCGGCAGTCCGATCAGGGGGGGTGGCTTTGGCGGTTAGCCTTGATATCGTTAACGCGTTCGGCACCCTCCCCTGGCAGGCGATTAGGGCGGCCCTTGAATTTCATGAGGTGCCGCTCTACCTGCGGGCCGTCATTGGGGCCTATCTGCGCGATAGGACAGTGAAGTTTATCGGTCGGGGCGGGGTGGAAAATCGGAGAGAGGTGTATTGCGGGGTTCCCCAAGGCTCTGTTTTAGGCCCTTTGTTGTGGAACCTCGCATATGATGTGGTCCTTCGCACCAGTCTGCCCTCTGGCCTTAGTGTTGTCTGCTATGCTGATGACACTTTAATACTGGCTAGAGGGTCACACTTCGACGAGGTGCTTCGGCTCGCCGAGCATGGGGTGGCTTGTGTCGTGGGAAAGATTCATGAGCTGGGTCTGAAGGTGGCGCCTCAGAAAACTGAGGCGATATGGTTCCATGGCCTTCGTAAGCGCCAGGAACCACCCAGCTCATGC